TAAGGTAGTTGGACCGCTGGATGCGAGGGATATCTTCCAAGGCCCCAATCGCCCAATAGCTCAGGGCTGGGCTTTGAACCGCCGATTCGGCCCCGACTTTGAACCGCCGATTCGGCCCCTGGAGGGCCACTTGAGGCCGTACAGAAGCCACTCTGGGAGGAGAAGCCGGTCGGACGAAAAGCGGGAGAGGTCCAGGGCCCTGAGGTTGTTGTGGAGTCGTCGGGGGCTGGTTGGGCTCTCGGGGCTCGCCATACACGGCTGGGCGTGGCTCGGGACGTTGGCCGGGAGGGGGGATCGGTGCTAGGAGGGGTCCAGGGACCGGATTTGAGCGGGTCTGGGTCGGTAGCGCGCAGAGTAGGGTCGCAGCAGGGGGAGCGGACCAGTGGAGGAAAGCACGTCGATCACGGGCCAGGTACATGTCTTTAATGTTGTCTTGTGTTTGTCGGCCACGTGGTGGCAAGTGGCTGCCCAAACACTGTATATATAGTTTGTTTCACACCTTTCGCCCGGAGAACTTGCCGGAAAATTCACACTATACATTATCATGTGGCCTTGTTGTGAAGCCCCTTTTGGGAGAGGGCCCAGATGCCTGAAACGAGTGTGTCTACACGTGGTTTCCATCGATGCCGTTGCTTTTTCTTCGTTCGGGCCTGTCTTCCCTCCTCCCCTCTCTCCTCGGTATCCTCTCACCGCCCGCGCTTGAAATAGCCAGGCTTGTCCACAGCACAGCCTATGTTGCTTCGAGCGACCCCCATCAGCTGATGCGAGTGTGATCGACGTCTGCCGTGTGTGCATCTACAGCGCGATTTGTTACATGGGCCGAGATGCATGGTCTGCATGTGTACGCTGTTTCTTGATTGAGACGCCTGCGGCGAAACACCGCAGCCCCTTGCCTTCTGTAACTGGCCGAGCGTTAGGCCAGAGTTTGGCCAAGCCATTCGGCGATGTGCTCCCCCAGCCGTTGTGGAAACCCTTGGGGGGAACGCTCGAGAGGGGGAGAAGGGGGAGAAGGATGCGGAGAGGAAGGAGAAGGATGACACGGTGGAGGAGGAAGGATGAAGAGGATGAGGAGGAAGAGTAGGAGGAGGAGGACGAGGAGGAGGAGGAGGCTTCTTCGGGGGGCGCTCGGGGCCCTCTTTGGGCCCGTTGGGGGCCTCTTGGTGTCTTGGGGGTCCTCTGGGTTGTCTTAGGGCGCCTTTGGCCCGTCCGACACCCTTCTACAAACATAGGTACCCTCTGACGGAACCACTGTGAGCATGTCACTAGGCGCGGCTGCGTGCCGAGTACATCGACGGCCAAGCGTTGGTACTAGAAGATGCAGCGACTTTGGCCTCCTTTTGGAGCGCTCTTTGAGAAGCCTTGACAGAGTGGCAATCAACCAGTCGCTGCGAAAGATGATTAAGAACATGAGCCAAACCGAATAGCGATCGTTGAAGCATTGCGTGATGACCCGGCCCAATGCGATCTTTGAAATTTCTGTTGTGGAAGTGTTGGTTTGCAGTGAAAACGTGCCGTTCGAGATGCCCAGGGACGGGGGAGCAAGGAGGAGAGAGTAGGAGGAGCATTGCCGGGTGAAACCGTGAAGAGAAAACCGAGGATAGAAGAAACTCGCCTCTTACTCAGAGGAGCCAAGGTAAATTCGCAGAGCGCTACCTCATCTGTCAAGGACACGTGGTCGAGAAACTCGGTCTAGATGTCGTCGGTCATTTTCAGGACCGTGTCTTTGGCGTGGAAGATCGCGTTGGTTGCCCCCTCGATGAAGGACAGCACGTGGCGCTTGTGGAGGCGGACCATGTCCCGGGTAGTGTAGACGCGGCCCGTTGGGAACAGCGCCTTCAACCTCCATGATGCCTCTATGGACAGGGTCCTAAGCGACACCCAATGTCTTGAAATTGTCTCCAGTTGCTTTCTTTCTCGGGCTCGAAAACCACTTGGTTAGCAGCCCCTTTCGTGTGAAGCGATGTTTGACATGTGTGGCACGCTTGAAAAATACCTTCATTGACAACGTCGAAGGCTGTCTTGGGGGCCTGATGTTTAGAGCCGTCTTGGAGGTCGCTTGGGCCGTCTTGCGGCCGCCTTCAGGACGTCTTTGGACCCACTTGGAGGTCTTTTTGGCGGCCATCTTGGGACATCTTGGGTTGTCGGCGTCGAAAGCCCGAATAGGCGCGAACGCTAATTTGTTTCCAGAACCTACGTGCGAATTCTTGTATGCATTGCCGTCTCCAGTTTGGGACGTCTCAAGTTTTGTTATGGTCATCAGTGATTTCGGCCTCTTGGGGCCCTGCTGGGAAACGTCTTGGAGCGCTTTCATGCCGCATTGAGGATCCCTTGGGCCGTGTCAGGGCCGTCTTGACCCTGCTGGCACATCTGGAAACCATCGTGGACCGTCCGGGCGCCGTCTGGGGCCGTCTGGCGCGTATTGGGGGCCTCCAGTGAGTCACTGGGGCCACCTTGAGCCACCCGACAACCATCCAACCGCCACCAGGAGCCCCAAGCGGTGCGGGAATCCGAGTTGCTGGGCGTAGGTGACGCGGGTTGGTGGGGACATCAGGAGGCGAAAAAACGCACAGACACACAAATCATCGTCAATACCCCGGAAAAGATGGAAACCACGGGAAGAGGGGGGAGCACGAACATCCAGCCCAGCCCACTTTCCCCTCGAGCCTTTTGGCCCTAGCCCTTCTTGGCGGCGAGCGAGGGGTGAAGTGAGGTTGAGAAGGCCTTCTCAGAAGGCGGCGGGACTTCTCAGAAGCCCTCTCGTCTTCTGAGAAGCCTTCTGTCTGTAGGAAAGGCTCAGAACGCTTTTCTCAAGGCCGGGGGACTTCCGAGCCTTCTGAGAAGGCCCGCCCCCTGTCGTTTCTTCCCCCCAGGCTGGCCGCCGACTTCCAGCCCTTCCCCTGCTCCTTGTTTGCCCACACGGCTGGCCGAGGCTTTTCGGCGCTCGCAGGCGCGCCGGCCAGGGGCCCGGCATCTATCGGGGTTGATGTGTGCTTGCTTCTCGGGGGTCTGCTCGAGAGGCTCCCTGGGTCCACTTGGGGCCCAGTTGGGGTGGTCTTCGGGCCAGATTGAACGCATGCTGGAGATCATATCGAGCCATTCTGGGCTATATTGAGCCATACTGGAGGCCATCTTGGGCTATCCGGGGCCCTTTTGGAGCCAGCTAGTGTAATCTTGGACGCCCTGACGCCTTACCACCCCCCTTGGTCGAAATCCAGTGGAGGGGGATTTGGGGGGAGGGACGAACCCCTCCCAGTTGGGGGAGACGGCGGTTGGAAGAAGAAGAAGAAGAAACAGAAGAAGAACAATACGTTGTGTAAACCACATGCGCCCAAGGGGCTGATGGGAGTGGCATAGCTTCATCAGTCCCTTGAGCTCTCGGGGAGCACGCTTGGGACGCTCTTCCTGAGTGCAGTCAGGGCCTGTGATGTACTGTCGTGCTGCACGGGGCTCCTATAAGTTTATGCATCAAGGTGTTCTGCATGAGGTATTCGGCAAAGTTCGCTCGGCTATCGTCTATGCGCGCGCGAAGCGCGCGCGTGGCTTGAGTCCGGATGCGAACGGGTATACGGTATGGGTGTGATTGGGTTAGATAATGCGCATTCCTGTATTACTGTGAGCCTGTGCTCGCATGTATGGGCGAGTCTTGTAGTGTGCGAGAATCAGGGCTGTACGTTTGAGATTGAGAAGCTGAGCATGAGTGAGTCTGACTATGAGTGGCACAAAGTATTCGTGAATGTGCGTGTGGGTGGGTCTGAGAGTGAGCGGGCTGAGGAAGAGAGCCCATGAGTCCGAGAAGCCTGAATATTATCAATGTATTGTTGCTGAGTCTGAGTGTGTGTGTGTGTGTGACTGAATAGTTGTGAGTAGTTTGTCCGAGGGTGAGCGACCGAGTCGAAGTAAGTGCGAGTTTGAGTATGAGTGGGCCTGGTTCTGCGAGTGACCGAGGGAGGGCGCAGTTGAGTGGGTAGGTTGGGAGGTTGAGGAGTGACACTAACAACACGAACGCATACTTTGGATACGGGAAGCAAGACATACCGACGTATGAGATGGGGAGTCGGTGATGAAGGGGGGGGCAGGAGGCAGGACATCGAAATTGGGCCGAGGCGCGCCACTAACCAACATACACGGATTTTTGGGATACCGAGGAGAATGCGCCCGCTTCCGCTTACGGCAGTAGGTTTGAGATATCCCACACATCTGGCCGCGAGCAGACACGCGTAGCACTTTTTGGTGGTTCACACTTGGGAGGCTGCTGGGAGGCCCATGCTGGCGTGCTACATCGCGAGAAATTCTCGCGCTCTGAAAAGAGAAGCGTCTACATCGAAAGTTTGACATCCGGCCCGAGAGGTCCCACCAATCACCAACCTGGATTCGAGCGAACTCGTTTCATATTCTGTGTCGGTTCACCCTTGGGATACACACGTGCCGTATTTGCTACAACGCGAGGGTCATGAGGGTCTGAACAGAAGACATATAACAACTACCCGTAGACTCGAGATGTCTCACACATTTGGCCGCGATCGGGCCTGTGTAACACCTTCTGCCGGATCCCCCATTGGCAGGCCAAGTGGATCTGAGTATGAGTCGGTCCGATTGGGAGTGAGTGGATCTGAGGTTAAGTTAATCTCAGTGTGAGTGAGTCTAAGTGTGAGTCTTCATATGAGTGGGTCTGACGGCGAGTGATTTGGGATATGGGTGAGTCCTGAGCATAAACGAGCATGAGAGAGGGAGGAGGCGGATGAAGCAAGGAAGCGGGGGCACTTCACGAATTGCAAGCTTTTCATTCTGAGGTCATTGGGAGGTTTCACCCTCCCGCGCCCGAAGCGACCAAGCGGCCCATCCCCCATCACGAGACTGCGGCAGCGATGTGGCAGGGGATGTGCTGCGCTTTGCGGGGGTCCCAATCCTGTCCTCGTGTTTGATCGAAGCCTGACCTCGCCTGCAGGGCCATCCCCGGCAATCTCGGCCCGCCGCCGCCGCGGGTGCGACCCCCTCCCGAGGCGGCGGGTGGGACGTGGGAGATGTTGCGTCAGAGGCTGCCCTGGGGCCAGCCGCTCAGGCAGCCGCGGCCCCGCCGCCGCCGCCATCGCCGCCTCCGCCGTCGGCGTGCTCCCCCTTCTCCATCCTCCCCATCCACCTCCTGGTCTTCCGTCCCTATCGCCTCTCCCCCCCCTCCTCCTCCTCCTCCTCCTCTTCCTCCTCCTCCTCCTCCTTCTCCTCCTCATGCTCCTCCTCACACTCCTCCTCCTCCTCCTCCTCCTCCTCCTCCTCCTCCTCCTCCTCCTCCTCCTCCTCCTGCTCCTCTGTGCACCGCCGAAGCCCTGCCGGCAGGCGGCGTCCGCCGCCCCATCATCCTCAATTGCATTTGGTGCAGGCCATGGTCGAGGATGAGACAGCCGCTGGTGGCGGCACGGGGGAGAGGCCCTGCTGGCGGCGTCTATTGGGGTGGTCCGGACAGGACATGCGACCGTGCAGGGCACGTGCACAGTTTGCTGGCGGCCGTCTACGCTCATCAGGAATGCACGGCAGCATGCACGGCGGCTCCTCGGCCTCATCAGGTACTACGAGCACGTGTCGCACGACATCCCGATGAGGGAGTCAAGGGCCACGAGCTACCGGCTGCCGCTGCTCAGGGCGCAGGGTTACGCCTACCGCCTGCCCAGGCACGCGAGGCTCGCAGAGGCGATCGGTCCCGTCATCGGGGCCACCGGCGCGATAACGGCGGGCTGCTTCCGGAGCTTAAGAGACGAGGGTCAATACAAAAGGGGGTCAGCCAGGGCACTGGATCCTGCAGGATCCTGCGAAGACCCCCTCTGGCTGACCCGGGTTAGCGAGCCGCTCGTGGCCGCGAGGCGGCCGCGCATATTGGCTGACCCGGGTTTGCGAAGCCCTGCGCTGCAGTTGTTTTGTTCCTGCATTGCAGTTGTTTGGTTTCCTGCTGACCCGGGTCTGATTGACCCGGGTTAGCAGATCCCCGATGCTCCTGCGCGCTGTGGTTGGCGAAGTTGGTGGTACACATTCTGCCGGTCCAGCAGGCGCGCCGATTCCCGCTGGTGAGAGCGCAGTCGTTGGTGGACGGCCAGCTGCTGCAGGCGCTGGGCACGCCAGCCCTAGAGGCGAGGCAGCTGCCAGGCGCGCTCGAATTGTGTGGTGAGAGAGCTAACGGCGAGGAAGCTCAAGGGACACTGGGCCACGACAGGCTGGCTCGCGGCCGACGCGGAGCTGGGCCAGATGCTTGCGGATCAGAGGTCTCGCAGAAATTCTTCTACCGCTTTTGCTATTTGGGACTCTGCGGTCACAGGGCTCGCCGACAACATAATGAGTAGTCTTCGAGTCAGTGCCCTGAGGAGCCAAAGTGGGCCTCAGGCTCCGTTCCATGTTCAGAGGGTCCTGGAGGCCCCCGCTATAGTGCACGCAAGGCCGCAAGGCAACTGGTTCACGCTTGGGCCATGTGTGTCGAGAGTGCCATGCTAGCCTTGCCCATTCTCGAAGCTGTTTTGGATCCTGAGATTCAGGAGCCCCCGGAGCCAGTGCAGCAACCCTACCCTGGTGCTTCATCCTGTGCTTGCCAGGATCGGAGCTAAGATGCCGCCTGTGCCGGACATTGTGGGACCCCCGTGCGAGGTCGTTTGGTTCGAGGTTTTCTCTCCAGGTAGACCTGTGACAACGGTGAAATCCATGGCTGTTGTTGGCGAACGGCGTTGCGTCGGTGGGCAGAAGTCAGTGCTGGCGCTCGGAGTTGATCTGGAAGCCCCTGGAGGGCGCGCTGTTCAGTCGCATGCATAAACTCAGCAAGCATGGTCGGAGCCTTGTGAGCAGCCGAGTGCTGGGCTCCCACTGGCCCCAGCGGCGCCTGTTCCGTCACAGTAGGTCCAGATCTGGAGAGTGCAGGATGCGCGGTTGCCCTGCGACACCGTGCCTTTAGTTGTTCCTGCTCAGACAGCTTCACACGTACGGACATGCCCCAGTCGGTCGGGGTGGCGGCAAGCTGTGTGAAGAAGATGGGGGAAGACGAAGCCGAGCTTTTTCCTCGCAGCCTTTGTGTACCTCCCCCGAGAATTTGTTCGAACGACCCGAGACTCCCGAGGAGCGGTGAGTTCGTTTCGTTGGGGCCCATCCTGGGTGGCTCTGGGGAGGATCCATGTTTTAGGGGTTTGAGGACCCATGTTTCAAGTGCAAGTAGACGGCGACGACAATTCCATTGCCTGCCTGTGAGTCTGGGGTGGTGCTGGGGTCGTGGAGGCCCGACCATTGGGCGCGGGACTAAGGACTTCGCGTTTCACATGCTGGCTCGGTTCTCAGAGTTTCCCTCAGAAACGAAGGTGTCGCCCTAGAAGTCTACAGTGATTGTGCTGACTCGATCTGGTGCGCTCGCAACTCATCGAAGGCCCTCTATCCCAGGAGCGGGCGTAGGCACATGTGGAAGCTCTTGTGAGATAAAGCTGGGGCCCCCGCGAGTGTGGACATAGTCAAGGCCCAAAGGAGGCTCTCAAAGGCCACGTCTGTGGATGACATGTGGATGCTTCGGGGGAACCAGCTGCTCGATAAGTGGGCCCAGACTGGAGCCCGTCTGCCGGAGGCCCCCGAGGAACAAGAACTTGTCGTAGACGCTTACGAACGCAGGGCAGAAGATCTTGCCCTGCGGCTCGGGGCTCGGCAGGCTCCACGAGCGGCTGCACGAGGCTGGCCTCCAAGACTCACGTGGAGGTGCAGGCACGGCAGGCATCGCGCCTGATCTTGATTTGGATGCCTCTCAGCTGGAGTCCGAGGAGGCGCAGGCGTGGCAGGACCACTGCGAACGCAGGGCCTCGCTCCGTTCGCGCATTGCCCTCCCGCCCGAGCTGTACAGTGGGGGCCCATGCCAAGAAACACCCTGCTTGCCTCCAGGGTGCCCGGGGTCTCTTGGGTTTCGATGGTTTCGCGATGGAAGGCGTAACGGTCCCACACCAAACGTCCACGGACGTCCCAGGGTCTCAGTGTTGGGTGTTTTGTGGAAGGTTTCTTGTGGTCGGGCCCCCAATGTACCTCGAAGGAGAGGCGGCCCCAGCTCCCGCGGCGGACCGGCCTATCGCTGGGAGCGTTGGCGTTTTCCAGTCGTGGCTTTCTACTGCAGCCTATTGCAGCCTCCTGTGGCCACTTGCCCTCTGGCTCCTCATCCTCCCCCTCCTCCTCATCCTCCTCCGTAATATTCCCCCTCCTCTTTGCCGCCGTCGTCGAAGGAGCCGGGGGGGGGGGGATAGGGAGGGGAGGTGGGGGGACGAGGAAGACGAAGAGGAGGAGGAGGAGGAGGAGGAGGATGAGGGGGGAACGGGGAGGAGGAGGGGGAGGAGGGCGAGGGCCGAGGGGGAGGAGGGGGTAATGCCATCAGCCCGAGCCTGTCCCCGAGGAGGAGGGGGAACAGGAGGAGGCGGAGGAGAGGGGGGAGGAGGATCGAGGAGGGGGGCCCCGCCGCCTCGAAAAACGAGCGCCCCCTGGGCCCGCAAATTCAGGCGGGCGAGCCCTCTTTAAAGAAGCCGCCCTCGATCCTTCGAGCTGTAAGGAGTGCGGCATTGTGAGTCGTCAGTTCCCGGAAATGTCCAGCGTAAGCCCCTCCTGGAGAAGGAGTTGCCCTCCTGGAGAGTGTGCACCGTGTTGATGTATAGTGATAGCAGCTTCTGAGAGTTGCCAGGTCAGAGCCCCACTGTGAGAACGAACCAGCCTCCATCCGTGCGATTGTTACAACATTTCAAGACGACGGTGCGCGGCGCTACGGCGAGAACCATACTCAGAAAAGGGCGTATCTTTCCACCCGTAAAATTGCTGGATATGAATGTGTATGTACATATACCGGGGGACCGGGCCCGGGGGCCAGGGGCCGGCGCCACGACCACAAATGTGGGGCCCCGGCGTCGTTTTCCTTGTGGCGACCTGGGGCCAACAGGGCCCCAAGAGGCTGCAGGGAGGCCCCAGGAGGCCGCAGCGATGGCTCCAGACGCCTTTCAAGACGACTCCTATGACGCCAAGAAGGCCCCGAAGACGCCCCAAGAGGCACCCCGAGAGAGGCCCAATTAACAAAAATCGTCGATTTCCCATAGTGAAGCTGATATGTTTGGCGTGTTCGCCTTTTGGACTTCCACTGCGTCCAAGACGGCCCAAGAGGCCCCCAAGACTGCCCCACAGGCTCCCAAGAGGGCTCCAAGACGACCCCAAGAGGGTCCCAAGACGGCCCGAGAGGCCCCCAAGACAGCCCAAGAGAGCCCCAGGACGAGCACCAGAGGGGCCCCAGAGGTGCACAACCATGTTCAAATATCGAGCTTTCGGCTCCAGAGGCTCCCAGGAGGCCCCAAGAGGTCCCCAGGAGGCCCCAAGAGGCCCCAAGAGGCCCCCAAGAGACCCCCAGGAGGCTCCCAAGAGGCACCCCAATATAGCCCCAAATGCGCAAACATCGTCGATGTCCTATAGGAAAACTGATGTGTTTGGCGTGTTCGCGTTTTGGGTCTCCACTGCGTCCAAGACGGCCCAAGAGGCACCCAAGGGTCGAGGATGCCCCCAAGAGGGCTCCAAGACGGCCCACGAGGGGGGCCAAGACGGCCCACGAGACGCCTAAGCCGCTCAACAACGCCCCAAGTCGGCGTCCAAGACGGGGACGAGGAACCGAACATGCGAGTCATTTGGCCCAAGATGCCCCCAGGAGACCCCAAGAGGCTCCAAGAAGCGCCCAAGAACCAAGAGGTCCCCAAGAGACCCGCAAAAACACAAAAAGAGTATTCGAACACGCCCCAAGGGGCACCCCAATAGAGCCTCAAATAAGCAGACATCGTCGATGTCCTATAGGAAAACTGATGTGTTTGGCGTGTTTGCCTTTTGGGCTTCCACTGCGTCCAAGACGGCCCAACAGGCACCCAAGGCGGTCGAGGATGCCCCCAAGAGGGCTCCTAGACGGCCCACGAGGGGGGCCAAGACGGCCCACGAGACGCCTAAACTGCTCAACAACGCCCCAAGTCGGCGCCCAAGACGGGGACGATGAACCGAACATGCGAATCATTTGGCCCAAGAGGCCCCCAGGAGACCCCAAGAGGCTCCAAGAAGCGCCCAAGAAGCCCCAATAGGTCCCCAAGATACCCACAAAAACACAAAAAGAAGCCCCGAAGACGCCCCAAAGGGCACTCCAATAGAGTCCCCCCCGAACCCGGGTGCCACACCTCCCCGTGACATCTCGGGAACGCTCCCGGTACCGCTCCCCCGGGCGTTCCGGGGGGCTTCCACAGCGCTCCAGGAGGGCCCGAGACGCCTCCCAGGAGCCCCCAGAATGCGAAAGGATGGTCCGAAACGCGCCCAAGCAGTCCAAGTCAGCCTTCCGACGGCTCTCGCGGCTCCCAGGCAACTTCCAAGAGACCCCAAGAGAGGTCCGAGAGGCGTCCCCGGACGGCCCGAAGAGGCCAAAATCGTAGATTGCGAAGGCCTTGCGGCCGATGCCGCCGACACTGGAGACGACCCTGTCGTCTGGGCGCGCCAGCCCTCGCGGATCGGACGGTGGCTGCGAGGCGCTGTCGGGCGTCGGAGGCGTTGAAAGCGCGCTTGCCGCGCTCGGGAAAGTGTCCCTCCTCCGTTCTGTGATGGGGAGGAGGAGGAACAGGCGGAGGAGGAGGACAAGGTCGAAGAGGAGGGAATACCCGGTTGCTTGGTAACTTCCTAGTTTGTTTTGTAGTTTCCTATGGGAGTTTTTGGGGCCTTTCGGGAGCCTCTTGGGGCCTCTGTGGGCTTCCTGGAGGGCCTCTGGGGAGCTTCTCGGGGCTGAGGGCTCGAAATGTCAGTTCGGGTCCCCCGTCTGGGCGCTCTCTTGGAACCGTTTTGGGGGCCTTTTGTGAATCTGGGAGGCGTCTTGGGCCGTCTTGGGGCACTTCTGGGCCGTTTGGAGACCCTCTCGGAGGTCTCTTGGGCCGTGTCGGGGCGATCTTAGGAGCCTCTTGGGCCGTCTTGGCGCGTGGGGAAGCGGAAGAGGCGAAAACGCCAAACATCCTTGAACAACGTATGGGAAATCCATGATTTGTACCTCTTGGGGCTCTCGTAGGAACGGTCCTGGAGGCCTCTCGGGGCGTCTCGCAGGCCTCTTGGGTCGTCTGGAGGCCGTCGGGGCGTCTTGGACAGATCATTCGGCGATTCGGCGCCCTCTTGGATCGTCTTGGTGGCCTCTTGGGCACTCTTGGCCCGTCTTGGGACTTTTTCTGGCTGCGGGATTCCCCGGGGGGCGGCGCAAAAACCCGGGACCCCCCCGGGGACCCGCCCCGGGGGGCGGCTCAAAAACCCGGGACCCCCCCGGGACCCCCCCCCCCGGCGGGGAAGGGATCAAAGGGAAGGGACTTCCCTTCCACTCAATTACGACGTTGCTCAATTTCGCGGAGGAGGGAACAGACGGAGAAGCCTCTTCCACACGCCGACAGGGTCGGCGGATTTCCATTTGTTTTGTTCAACGTTTTTGGCTTCTCTCGTTTTCGAGCTTCCAACGGTCCAAGAGCGCCAACGAGGCTCCCATATCCGCCGCAAGACCACCCAAGAGACCCTCAGGACGGCCCCAAAACGGGCCAAGAAGGCTCCAAGATTGCCGGAGAGGCGCCCAGGACAGCCCCAGACCACCCCAGAACAGGCCCAAGATGGGGCCAAAAGCGGAAGCAGGAGGCTTCCAGAGACCTCCGAAAGGCTTCCGGGGCCACCCAGAGGCCCCCAACACACCCCCGATCCTTGAGAGTCCACAGAAAGACCCCGACGAGGCTCCAAGAACAGCCCAAGAGAGCTGCCAGAGCCGTCCCGAGAGAGCCCAAAGAGGGTAAAATCGTTGATGCCCCATGGTTTTCTAATGTTTTTCACCTTCTTACATTTTCCCGCTTCCAACCCTCGAAGATCGAGGATTTTGAAAAACGAAGGAATTCCCATAATTTGTTCTTCAAAGTGGGACTCCTACTCGGGGTTCCTGCACATCCCCTGGCATCTGGCCAGTACCGCACCTCCCGGCTTCCCAGGGGGAGACCCGAAGTCGCCGAAGGACACCCCATGACGACCCAAAGGAGCCACCAGAACGTTACAAACGGCCCAACACGCTCCCGCGCAGCCCGCGACACCCTTCCGACAGTTCTCCATGCTTCCAGGAGGCCTCCAGAACCCCCAGGGGGTCCGGAAGATCCCACACTCCTGAGGGGCCCGGCTAGCAAAACCCGCGAGGCACAAACAAAAAACAGCGCCGACCAGCGCCGAGGAACTGGAAAATCGTGGAAATCATACAATTCCTGTTTTTTCTCCAAGTTTGGCCCCCTGTTTACTCTTGCACTTCAGATCCCCCTCGCCTCCCAAAAAAGAGCCCAGGAAGCCTTTGAGGGCCCCAAATCTTTGAATACCTAAAGGGAATTAATGATTTCTGCGCTTCCGCGTTTTACCTTCTATACGATTCCGAGGCCTGCGCAGGGCCTGCAAGGAGGTCCTTGGACGCAAGAAGCGACCCACATGAGATGACATGAGTTAGCCGATCAAGCCCAGCTAGAAACTGAGCGTGCGTGAAGCGCGCGCGATGTTTTGTTTGTTTGTATGTATATATGTATATATATATGGAGAGAGAGAGAGAGAGAGAGAGAGAGAGAGAGAAAGAGAAAGAGCGAAAGAGCGAAAGAGCGAAAGAGAGAGAGAGAGAGAGTGAGAGTGAGAGAGATGGACAGAGAGGGAGAGGGATCTATATATATATATATACACACATATATATATATACAGATAGCTCAATCATCAGAGGGCCGAAGGGGCTTCGGAGACCGCCCAGCCGTGTCCCAAGACGGCCCCAAAAGAGCCCCAGGAGCGCCCCGACAGACGGCCGAGAGGGGTCGTGGGCCACCATCGCGGGGGTGGGGCTCCCAGCACGCCCCCAAGATTCTCGGCACGAAGAAGCACAAACAATAGGTTTCTCGATGTGTTTTAACAGTTTAAACAAACTCGATTCTGCGCGTCCTTCTCCTCCTCCTCCTCCTCCTCCTCCTCCTCCTCCTCCTCCTCGCGTTCCCAGGGACGCGACAGCGTCCCCGTCCAGAAGGCGATCTACCAGTCCATGGCCCAGGAGCTTCGTGACGACTCCTTCCACGGCACCATCGGGAAGAGATTGGAGAAATGGCTGGCTGAAGATGGCGAGGTGGTACCCGGAGACCTCCAGGAACGGTGGCATCGTCTCCGCGCCTCCCTCGCTACCCTGAAGCCTGGGGTGTACTGGGCGGTGGTGAAACCTTGGCTGGAGCATGGCCGACAAGCCACCGAATGCACATGTTAAACGAGCGCCTGACGTGCAGGTTCGGCTGCCAGGCCGAGGACGACATATGCCATTACCTACGATGCCCGCGCGCTTGGCATTTAGTCTCCCTCCCGAGATGGATCCCTTCTGCACGACGGATTGTCCGACTCGGCCTCGGGCTTTTGGAGGACCAGATCGAGGATGATGAGCTTCAGCGGGCTGCAGTTCGCATAGCTTTGAAGTACCACCTGTACAACATCACCCGTCACGAAATCGCAGACTGCACCTACGACTACAACGTGCACACTAGTGCCCTGAGTGCTGCCCTGCAGCGCGTCTAGGCCTGGAGTTGCCTCCCTGGGCTTCGTGTCCTCCTCCTCCTCCTCCTCCTCCTCCTCCTCCTCCTCCTACTCCTACTCCTCCTACTCCTCCCATGCAGGTGTTCACCTTGTTTCACACGCGTGTACTGCAGCGGGCGCCTCGGCGCCCACTCCGCCGCGCCTTCATGAAGCCACGCGCGCGAAGCCGTAGCCGTAGCCGTAGCCGCAACCATTATTTAGCCAACGACGTCCCCAGAGGCCTCACAAACCGGCTCCAGAGGGCTTCCAGACGGCCCACGATGCGTTCCAAACCAAGCGCAACATGGCGCCAAACGTGACAGTTCTGGTGGAGGTGTGGCATGCACATGTGTTCCCCCGTCCTCGTTTGGTTCTTCGCCATGGCGCTGGTGCCCCCGTGGGTTGCCCCAAGGTACGCATGTTCTGGGATTTGCTCAGGTTCGGACTGGTCAATATGATAGACCATGCGGAAGCGCTCAGATACAGGCACTTATCCCAGGGAGCAGCTCTATCTAAATATCAGGACCCCGAGGCTGCAGAGTGGCTCGTGTACTGCAGTGGCAGACGAGCCATCCTTCTTGAATCGCATCCATTTGCCATAGGTCCTCATCAAGACGAAGGGTATTTTCGAGGCCGACGCCGAGATGACCCTATCTTGTTGGTTCAGGCGGCCAGCGAGGACATGCTCAACGGATTTGCCTCCACGCGCATCGTGATCGACATGCACGTGTTTGAGTAGGACCGTCTTCTGTGCCGACAGAGGCACCGTGACTCATTCGCCTGCTTGTGATACTACACAAGGTGGGTCATGTGGTTTCTGGCTTCCTGGCCAAGTTTGCGAGACCGGTTGCGGAATTTCGCTGGAAACACCGACAATGCGTTTTTGTGGCGGCGAGTCTTGTTTCAACGTGCGAGTGTGTGCGGGCGGAGTTGAGCCTGCTCAAGCTCGCCGGGAATTTTCTGAATATGATGATCGTCGATGACTGGATGCCTCTATCAGATTTCCTTTGCAAACAAGCCTCCCGCGCCACGCTGCTCCACGAAGATGTGGACCAGTTCGGACTTGCACGAACTTTGGACAAACAAGAATACCAGTTGTACTTGGAGACGGGCGGCCACACGAGCAAACGCCAACTACCCGATCGTGCATAGCGGCGAACGTTCCGTCTAGTGGGCAAGCCGCAGGAGGCCCCCCGCTACCTCTGCCCCCCCGCTTCACTTCGCAGGACACGGCCCGCGCTGAAGCTGACCGACGTTGTGCGGCACCTAGGACGTCATTCGACTCCCTGGGGGTGGCAATTCTTCGCTGCAGATCCTCTGGCTGGCGACGCACACTGCTGCTCGGGCTCGTGCTGGGCACACTTATGACATGAGTTGCTGCGCCCATTGGTCGGCGGCATTGGAAGCTCGAATTCCGCTTATGTGCCGTTGCGAAGATTGCGACGGTGGGGGGAACTACCACTTGGGATGCAGGACGCGCGGTCTGCAAGACTCACGCCGACATTTTGTCAGATTGCAGGATGGTCGACACGAGTGCCGACTCGCTCGCGCGAAGGCTGAAGTTGTACCAGAGTTCAGCAAGCCAAACGTGTTGGAAAGGTGCAAGCTCATGGTGCTCTTCGCCCCCTGGAGGGCAGCTCCAGCCCAGAGGAGTCCCACGGCAAGCTGACGGAGGCAGCATCACCATGGGCTAAACAAGTGGCTTCTGACGTTTCCAGGGCGGGCGCGCTGTTGAGAGAGAAAGGCGGTTTGGGGATGGCCGACGAAATTCGAGTGCTGCTCGAGTGCGGCGAGTTTACCCGCGTTGGTGGTGGTCGAGCGCGGGCGCTGCAGCTTGCCTTTCACTCTATCCCGCAGCCAGGCTGGCGAGGGCCACCAGGGTCGGACCCCGTGCCCATGCCGCCTGCGCCTGACCCAGACTCAATAGAAGGCGTGTTCAAGTGTTGGGTGGAAGAACGCCCATCGTCATTCATGGTCGCAAATGCCCTCTTCCGTTTTACCTTTGTCACCGCCTTCCTGGGTAAGCGTGGCGCCCGGACTTCCACCCATCTTCGCCGTGGGGTCGCTCGCCCACTGCATCTGTTTCCAATTCGGCACCTACTTGGACTTGTTCCCGGTGCCGCTTCGTGATGCCGCTCGCGCCATGTTGGCCGCGCTGAGCCCCGTCCCAGTTTGTGCGCGGCGTTGCTCGCCTCTCTGCCTTTTTTCGTTTAGCTGGTGGCACAGCCTGCCCCTGCTTGCACGGCGTTCGACCCGCTTCGCGCGCAAGGTTGCAAGTGTCAACTCAACCATCTTCGACATGGCCAAGGCTACTGCAGCCCAGCCCATGTGCTCACTCCTCCCAAATTCTGCAGCAGCGTCGACCAAGTTTATTCGGATGCGACCTCTGCAATTCGACATGTGCCACAAGATGTGCAAACGGGGGCACGCGGTGGTACTGGCGGGCGTGATGCAACGCGGCCAACGTTGCAGACTACGAGTGTTTGCCGCTGTTGTTGTGCGGAGCGTGCTGGTCTCGATTCTCTGCGCAGCCGTGTGGTGGCCGAGCAAATTCTAAGTCTGCAGCCGCCGGCCGCATCGTTTGAGTTTCCCTCGTGGCCAGCGCGGACATGGACGACGGCGCCCCAGCTCTCTCCCCTAGCGGTGCAGCGCATGCGTCGGCCCGCAGGGCGCACGCGACGAAGCGCATGGCGGCCCCCGCGGGGTCCGAGGCCGCGGGCGCGGCAGCCTCAGCAGGTGTGACCCAACTGGCGGCGAAGGCAGCCGCTGGGTGATCCAGAGGCGGCAGAGGTTCAGGAGGGAAAGAGGCACACAGACACAAGTCATCGTCGATTCCTTAGATCAAGTGGGGACATGTTGGAAGCAGGGGGAATGCGAACATCCAGAAAATATCGGAAAATATGGGCGATCCTGGGACCTGTGTGCATTTATTTGCGTGTCCCTGGGCCACTTTAGAGGTGAAAACAGCGCCGAGGGCCCAGGCAACACCAACGACCAGGTCAACCCCATCCACGCAGTGGCTCGCATCGGTTTCGTCGCACCTTGCAGGCAACCGATTTCAGAGCACCCCTCTATTCAAAGACGGAGATCGAGGCGGCGCGCGGCCTCACCCAAACAGGCGCCCGCGAGGGCAAAGTCACTTACGACGCGTCGAAAGGGCCCACGCAGCAACGGGCCAACAAAAACTAGAGTGAACGTCGAAGACACGGCCCCCCGCACATCCTCTGCGTCACGGCGGTGGCGGTGACCCGTTGCGTGGACCACGCCGATCGGATCGCCAATCCCTATTGCTATGACAGGAACCAGGCCGCCTCCTTAACCCGCCCCCTCCCCCCGCCAAACAACAACAATCACATTAACAACAACAACAACAACAACAACAACAACAACAACAACAACAACAAAATAAATGCGCCGCGTCGCGCCAGCCTTCAGGGCGAATGCCCAGAAGAAGCCCGGAGACAACAGCATCATCCAGGCAGCCCACGTCCGGCACCAGTTCGACCGCCAGCCGGAGCTCGGAGGCTGGCCGTTCAACATATAACCACCACGTGGCCACGGCGAGTGCCGCAGCGTTTCTCGCAGGCCCACACACGAGGGCCCCACTGGAGCGCGCGCGTGATTGGATAGCTTCGAGCTCCAGACCCAGAGGAGGAACAAGTACCCACACCTCTACCCCCTCGCCCGTTTTCCCCTTTTTGGGCCTCCTTGGAGGCCCTCGCTTCGGAATCCTGGTCAGAACGCGCCCCAGGAGAGGTCCACGGAGTAGCGCTATCAGTACTTTTTGGTTTCCCCAGAGACGGGAGGGAAAGAGAGAGCGAGAGAGAGCAAAACCCTGAAAATGAGACGGCAGTGAGGCGCAGTTTTTCCGATCCCGATTGTGCACCCCCTGTCCCTTCCCGTTCGCTGCCCCCCTCCCTGCCCCCCCGCGCCCCTGCTACCCCGGGCCGCCAGAGTGTCGGAGGGCAGCGGCCGCCTCGCTGGCCCAGCCCGAAGGGGCCTGGCGCCGCCAGGCCAAGCGTTTAGGCTCCCGCCTCGTCCCCAGCGTGTCATGGCTACATACCAGGACCCCCCATGATTCCCTCTCGATTCTCCCCCGCAGTTTCCGATCATCCTGCTCCCTGCCTGCTGTCCCCGCCCGGCCCCTCTGCTGCCTGCCCGCCCGCCCAGCCGGAGCTGGCCTCCCGCCTGGGCGTTCGTCGCCGTCTGCGTGCTTCTCCCGCCCTCGCCCCCTTCCGCCGGGCAGCACAGCGTGCCCGGGACCAGCGTGGCGATGCACATTTAAGTGCATCCCCGCGGCGCATTGGAAGCTCGAGCAGCACGAGAATCCATTTGTGTGCGTGTTTCCAGCTTCCGATCATCCAGACCCAAAAATGCTTCGATGCCCAAGAGGGCCCCGAAAGGCAGACGCTCGACGGGGCAAGGGGAAGGGCCCGAGGGGCCCTCGAGGAGCTTGCAGCAAGCGGCTTGCATGGTGGCTGGCATGCTTCTGCTCTGGGGCGCTCGCCGGTTGGCCCCGTGCGCCGTGCTTCACAAGGGCTGCGCGCCTATAGAGGGGGCGCCAGCTGGGCCCGCGCCCCTGCGGGCGCGCGCGCCCAGAGGCGGTTCGCCCCTGCGGGAGGTAGCCTCCCACCGGTATCGTTTGACCAATCCCCATCCCCATCCCCATCCCGTTGAGACCCCCACCAAATTACCACCCCAGTTGGGGATACACCCCTCGAAACCCGAAGGGAACGACTATATCCCCATAAAGAGGGGTAAATCGCCCAGTGGGGCCCAGGCCACGCCGCTGGAGATGGGGATCGGTTAAACGATACTCACCCACCCAGATGCCTGTGGTCGAAGACAAAAAACACCATAAACATAAACTTTTGGAGTTCCGCGCGGATTTCTTGGATCCGCGCTGGTCCCCCCTGGCGGCGCCTCTGGCGCCGCCCCTGGCCCGCTCCGCGCGCCAGGGAGTGGGGTCCAGCGCGGATCCGAGAAATCCGCGCGGAGCGCCAACAATGTATGTTTATGGTGTTATTTCTTCTTCCATATGGCCTGTTCGGTGTTCATCGCCCTTACATCGGAGGCACCCGTGAGGCAGAGCACCATACAAACATCATCGCAGGGGATCAGGCACGCTGGACCATGAGTCAATATCATCGCCATCCTCACCGTCGCATAAACTATCACAGCACATCACCACACCCACACGCAATCGCACCATACACGCATCATCCTCACCACTACCAGTGACACTACACAAACTCTCTCTTCCTCTCTCTCTCTATCCCTCTTTCTCTCTACCTTCGCAAACCAACATCACAGACACACGCACTCACACGCAAAGCCCACTGCTCACACTGAACACACTCACGTGCACACGATTCCTGAGGAAGGTCTGCGAATGTCTCGCGCTGATCCTCGTTCGGGAGTGACTTGCTGGGAAGTCTCGGGGCGCCAGAGAATCTTCACAATCATCCGCGTCTGGAGGCTGTTTCCCATCCTCAGGAGCGTACAAAATGGCGTGGAGCGAAAAAGGCCATGTACAAGGGGTCGAGAGCTATGGTGACCCAGGGTTCACGTCGGAGGTTTGGGAGGAGGAGGAGGAGGAGGAGGAGGAGGAGGAGGAGCAGCGGCAGAAGGGGAGCGGGAGCAGGACCGTCAGCGTTCGGGGTCGTGAAAAAATCACAACCGTTGTGTTTGCCCAGCTTCCTCCCTGGAAGTGCACCTGCTCCCAGTGCCTGATGGTGCTTGCGCGCTCCTGCAACGACTACTCTCGGTGGACCCGGCCTACATCCCCCTTGTGCCTCCGCGGCCGCCCTCCATCTGTCCAAGTGTGCCCGGTGCCTGGCATGGCCACAGACGCGCTCGCGACCGCCAGCGCTGCTGACACTAAGAACTAGCTTCGGCCGCAGAACCATCCCGGATCGACGTGTGTTGGAATCTGAACTGGAAGGCGAGTCCGACGGTGCTTGTTGTGTCAACTCACGGCATGATTGTGTCAAGCCGCCAGATTTCGGACGAGGAGAGGAGGGGGAGTGCAGGAGGAGGGCAGGGTTAAGTTGGGCCTGTCCCTCTACAGGGGGAATATTCAAAGATTGTAAAAAGATATCTGGGGACTATCTTTTGAGTATTTTTGGAAAGTTTGGGGGGTATTTTTGGACTATTTTGATTTTTTCTCCAAAGCCCCCCCGTAGGGGGACACGCCCGACCTAAGGGCAGGGACATGCAGCTATTTTTAGCCACAGGCAGGGGGGCAACTCGCACCCGGCCCCGCGAGCACCGCCACGGGCGGCCGCCCACTTGTGGCAGCGATGGGCCAAGGGATGCCCTGCGTGATGGTCCAGAGCATGCCCTGCAGCGGGGAGGAGCGGATCCCCGCGTGCGATCAGAGCGTTCTGACCGACCCTGCGGTGGAGTCGTTCGCGGAGTACAGGGACCCTCGCGTCGAAGAGCATTCAGAATACCGAAGAGCGTCGTACACATGTTTGTCGGCGAGTGCGTTACTGCACTCGGGATGCGAAACATATGTGGTGTAATTTGCGTGTGCATGGTCGAACCCATGCGTTGCAAGATATGTGGTGCAACGGATGCGAAGCAATCTGCGTGGCACACCACATGGGAGCAATCCCGGTGGTGCAACATGCGGCGTGCAATATATATATATATATATATATATAGATACGTATGTATATGTATGTATGTATGTATGTATGTATATATGTAGATATGTATGTATGTGTGTATATATATATATATATATATATATATCGGAGGTCGGGGGGTGAGATCGCAGTGAAACGGAGACCCCCACCAGGAAATCGGTTCCGGTTTCGTGTTCGAGCCGTGCGTGCGGGCGAGGCGAAGCTGATCCTCCTGTAGCTAAGCCGAAATAGGAGCAAAAGTCGGTTTCCCGTCCGCCGGTGGCCGGGAGGTGTCCCAGTTGGGCTGGGCGGTGTCCCGGGTGTCCCGGGTGTCAGAAGGAGCGAAAGTCCGTTTTCCGTCCGCCGGTGGCCGGGAGGTGTCCCAGTTGGGCCGGGCGGTGTCCCGGGTGTCCCGGGTGTCCCGGGCGTCCCGGCGCCAATACATGTCGCTAATTTCGTAATTCGTGTTTTTCGGCGCCTGCGGCGGGTTTTTTTTATGCAACCCAGCTTATCATATCCAATCCATCCTGTCCAATCCAATCCATATTGTATTAACTAACCCTTATTGTCCCATCTCATCTTATCCCACCCAATCCAATCCACCCAACCCAATCCATCAATTCATTTGTTTCTGCGCCTGCGGCGGGCCAGACCAATCCATCTTATCGTATCCAGTCCGTCGCTTCCAATCCAACCCATCTTATCTTATCCAATCCATCTTACCCCATCAAATCCAATCCACCCAACCCAATCCATCAATTCATTGTTGTTGACCTCTGCGGCGGGGTTTTTATCCAACCCAGCTTATTTTATCCAATCAATATTGTTCATTCCAATCCATCTTATCTTATCCAACGCATCTTGTCCCATCTTATCTTACCCCACCCAAACCAATCCATCCAACCCAATCAATCAATTAATGTGCGTCTGCGCCTGCGGCGGGCCAATCCAACCCATCTTATCTTATCCAATCCATGTATTCCAAGCCAACCCATCTTGTTCCATCCACGCCATACTACCCCATCCCATCCAACCCACCCAACCCAATCCACCAATTCATTTCTGTCGGCGCCTGGGCGCGATCGCGGCAGACTGCGAGGCTCGAGCGTTCGGTGCCCTTGCCTTTCGGAAGCCGCCCCATGGCGCCCCTCCGTCCGCCTGCCATGGCGTCTCCCGCGGCGCTCGCGGAGGAGCGTTCCAGGACGTGCCGCCAGTGGCGCCTGGCTGTGCCAGTGCAAGTGACCATCTGGCGCCAGTGGCACCAGGCCCTGCCAGCGACTGGCTGGGCGCCGCGCGCCCGACGCACGCCGAGGCAGCCGCTGCTGACCACAGCGACGCGCCGAACACGCTGAAGGGGCAGTCCGTCGTGTTCCCCGCCGCCGCGGTGACTCTTGTGGGGCGCGGATAAAATATATGAGTCGCAGTTGCCGCCGCCGTCGCTGCTGCCAGTGCCGCCGCGCCCATCGCCCATCGCCGCTGCCGTCGTTGCTGCGGAGGGGGGGCTTCTATATATATATATATATATATATACACACATATAGATATGTATATATATATGTACACATACATGTATATATATATAGAGAGAGAGAGAGAGAGAGAGAGAGAGAGAGAGAGAGAGAGAGAGGGGGGCGAGAGAGGAGAGAGAGAGAGAGAGAGAGAGAGAGAGAGAGAGAAGAGAGAAGAGAGAGAGAGAGAGAGAGAGAGAGAGAGAGAGAGAGAGAGAGAGAGAGAGGAGAGAGAGAGGGAGAGAGAGAGAGAGAGGGAGAGAGAGAGAGAGAGAGAGAGAGAGAGAGAGAGAGAGAGAGAGAGAGAGAGAGAGAGAGAGAGAGAGAGAGAGCGAGAGAGAGAGAGAGAGAGAGAGAGAGAGAGAGAGAGAGAGAGAGAGAGAGAGAGAGAGAGAGAGAGGAGAGAGAGAGAAGAGAGAGAGAGAGAGAGAGAGAGAGAGAGAGAGAGAGAGAGAGAGAGAGAGAGAGAGAGAGAGAGAGAAATTATCCTGGCGAAGGACCCAACCATATGCAGTTGTGAGTATCGCAATTGTGAGTATCTTCTTCGGTGGCGCCCCCTCTGGGGCCACGAACCGCGTGAGGGGCGTGCCGAAATGTGGCGGGGTACACAACGCAAAGGAATACGATAGATCTGATTACGAGAGAAAGAACGCGGGTGAGTCAGAGCGCGAGGGAATCGGAGTATGAATGGGTCTGCGCGCGAGTGAATATATTTGCATGAATGCGATCATGGAAACGCCTAGTGTAAGTGTATATGAATGTGAATGGTTCGAGCATGCCTGTCCGAACACACGTGACACTGGGCGTGGCCGCCGCAGGCAGCTTCCGCGGGAACCCCGACGGCAGCGTCCGCACGTCGCGACGCCCATGTCGGCACGCCTCTTGCGAGGATCGCGCCCGCTTTCGGCTCTTCTTTTCCTTCCTCTTTGCCCGCGCACTCCAAAATCCAAGGCTGCGGGCGCAGCGCAGCGCGGAGTCCCCGCGACGCGCGCTGGTCGCCCCGGGCGGGGTCCCAGCGACGCGCGCGGGTCGTCCGCTGCGCGAAGCAGAGAGAGCTGACTAGCTAACTGGCTGGCTGATAGCGGGCAAGTCTCTGACCGCTGGGCAGAGCGACGACGGGCGAACGAGGCGCCGGGCCCCCCGCAGCACGGAGTTCCCGCGACGCGCGCTGGTCGCCCCGAGAGGGTCCCAGCGACGCGCGCGGGTCGTCCGCGGCGCGAGGCCACACAATTAGTCGGGCAGTCGAGAGAAGGCGCGGCTCGGGGGAGACGCTCTGACAAAAAAATGATTACTCCGATCCTCGTGAGGGGTGTGCCGACAGGGGGTGGGGCCGTCATGCGAACCCTGCCACTGGCGCCTTCGGTGAAGCTCCCTATGGGGCCACGAACCGTGTGAGGGGTGTGCCGAAAAGGGGCGGGGCCGCCAAGCGAACCCTGCCACTGGGGCCTTCGGTGGAGCTCCCTATGGGGCCACGAACCGTGTGAGGGGTGCGCCAGAATGGGGCGGGGCCGCCATGCGAACGCAGCCACTGGCGCCCTCGGTGGAGCTCCCCACAGGGCCACGATCCTCGTGAGGGGTGCGCCGACATGGGGCGGGGTCGCCATGCGAACCCTGCCACTGGGGCCTTCGGTGGAGCTCCCTATGGGGCCGCGATCCTCGTGCGGGGTGCGCCAGATTGGGGCGGGGCCGCCATGCGAAGCCTGCCACTGGGGCCCTCGGTTGAACCCCCTATGGGGCCGCGAACCGTGTGAGGGGTGCGCCAGAATGGGGCGGGGCCGCCATGCGAACGCAGCCACTGGGGCCTTCGGTGGAGCTCCCTATGGGGCCACGAACCATGTGAGGGGTGCGCCAGAATGGGGCGGGGCCGCCATGCGAACGCAGCCACTGGGGCCTTCGGTGGAGCTCCCTATGGGGCCACGATCCTCGGGAGGGGTGCGCCGAAATGGGCGGGGGTGGTGCCATGCGAAACGCAGCCACTGGGGCCTTCGGTGGAGCTCCCTATGGGACACGAACCGAATTCGTGAGGGGTGCGGCCAAAATGGGGGCGGGAGGCCGCCATGCGAACGAAGCCACTGGGGCCTTCGGTGGAGGCTCCATATGGGGCACGAACCGTGTGAGGGCGTGCGCCAGAATGGGGGCGGGCAGGCCATGCGAACGCAGCCCACTGGGGTCGTCTTTTGTTGGTTTTTTTTGCGGTCGGTAGCTCCCTATGGGGCCACGCGGCCTCGTGATGGGTGCGCCGAAATGGGGCGGGGGGACATGGGTGCGGAACGCAGCCACTGGGCCTATCGGTGAAGCCTCTTATGGCAGCCACGAAAACCGCGTGAGGGATGTGCCAGAATGGGTGAGGCGGGACGGGGCGACCTGAGGCGGGCCGCCATGCGGACCCTGCCACTGGGGCCTTCGGTGGAGCTCCCTATGGGGCCACGAACCGTGTGAGGGGTGCGCCAAAATGCGGGGCCGCCATGCGGACCCTGCCACTGGGGCCTTCGGTGGAGCTCCCAATGGGGCCACGAACCGTGTGAGGGGTTTGCGTGCAGAAATGGGGCGGGGCAGCCATGAGAACGCCAGCAATGGGGAATTCGGTGGAGCTCCCTATGGGGCCACGAAACCGTTGTGAGGGGCGAGGCCAGAATGGGCGCGCGGCCGCCATGCGAAAGCAGGCAAATGTGGGCCTTCGGGCGGAGCTCCTATGTCCAATGGGGCCACGAACCGTGTGAGGGGTGCGCCAAAATGGGGCGGGGCCGCCATGCGAACCCTGCCACTGGGGCCTTCGGTGGAGCTCCCTATGGGGCCACGAACCGTGCGAGGGGTGCGCCAGAATGGGGCGGGGCCGCCATGCGAACGCAGCCACTGGGGCCTTCGGTGGAGCTCCCTATGGGGCCACGAACCGTGTGAGGGGTGCGCCAGAATGGGGCGGGGCCGCCGTGCGAACGCAGCCACTGGGGCCTTCGGTGGAGCTCCTATGGGGCCACGAACCGTGTGAGGGGTGCGCCAGAATGGGGCGGCGATGGGAGGGGGAGGAGGAGGGGGGGAGGAAGGGGGAAGGAAGGAACGCGGGGCACCGTCTCTTCAAAACGAGGACCCAACACCACAGGATGGTTTGGAAAAAAAAACAAAAAAAAACATAAAAAGGCGCGCGAGAGAGAGAGAGAGAGACGGAGAGAGAGAGATAGAGATGAGAGAGAGAGAGAGATGAGAGAGAGAGAGGAGAAAGGGCAAGAGAGAGAGAGAGAGAGAGAGATAGAGAGAGCAAAAGAGAGAGAGAGGACCCAACACCACAGGATGGTTTGGAAAAAAAAACAAAAAAAAAACATTAAATAGGTCGCGCGCGAGAGAGAGAGACGAGAGAGAGAGAGATGAGAGAGGAGAGAGAGAGAGAGATGAGAGATGAGAGAGGAAGAGGAGAGAGAGGAGGAGGAGAGAGAGAGAGAGAAAAAAAGATAGAGAGAGAGGAGAGAGAGAGAGAAGGGAGAGAGAGAGAGAGAGGGAGAGAGAGAGAAGAGATTATATTATATGTGTAAGGAGAGAGGAGATGAGAGATGAGAGAGAGAGGGACGAGGAGATAGAGCGAGAAGAGAGAGGAGAGGTGGGAGGCGACGGTGGGAGAGAGAGAGAGAGCAAAAAACAAACAAGAGAGAGAGAGAGAGAGGAGAGAGAGAGAGGAGAGAGTGATGAAAGAGAGAAGAGAGAAAGAGAGAAAGAGAGAGAGAGAGAGAGAGGAGAGAGACGGCGAGCGAGAGGTGAAAGAGAGAAAAGAAAGAGAGAGAAGGAGAGAGAGAGAAAGATGAAGAGAGAGAGAGGGAGAGAGAGAGAGAGAGAAAGAGAGAAAGAGAGAAAGAGAGAGGACAACACAAACAGAACAAGAGAAAGAGAAAGAGAACGAGAAAGAGAGGGAGAGATAGAGAGAGAAAGTGAGAGAGAGAGCGAGAGAGAGAGAGAAGGGGGGAAGAGAGAGAGAGAGAGAGAGAGAGAGGGAGAGAGAGAGAGAGAGAAAGAGAGAAAGAGAGAAAGAGAGAGGACAACACAAACAGAACAAGAGAAAGAGAAAGAGAACGAGAAAGAGAGGGAGAGATAGAGAGAGAAAGTGAGAGAGAGAGCGAGAGAGAGAGAGAAGGGGGGAAGAGAGAGAGAGAGAGAGAAACAAACAAGAAAGAGAGAAAGAGAGAGAGAGAGAAGAGAGAGAAAGAGAGCCAGAAGAGAGAGAGAGAGAGGAGAAAACGAGAGGAGAGAGAGAGAGAGACGAGAGATGAGAGCGAGAGGGAGAGAGAGAGAGAGAGAGAGAGAGAGAGAGAGGAAAAACAACGGGAGAGAAACATGAAGAACAAGAGAAAGAAAGAGAGAGAGAGAGAGAGAGCAATATCTATATATAGAGAGAAAGAGGGAGAGAGAGAGAGAGAGGGAGGGACAACCATATATAGAGAGAGAGAAGAAATGAGAGAGAGAGAGAGAGATACATACATATAGAAAGTAAGAAAGAGAGAGAGAGAGAGAAAGAGAGAGAGAGAGAGAGATGACATCAAGGTGACAAGCTGTAGGTCAGTCAGGGCGGGCGTTGGACCTCAATCCCCCCCCCAGAAAAACAAAAACATCCTTATCGCCCGCAGGGCGGTCGCGTAGGTATATGCGTGCGCGGCGCAACGCACGCGGCCAGTTTGCGCCGTGCATTCTACACGTGGGGCGCAACGAATAAGGAGCAACCCGAAGTCGCCCACTTCACTGCTAGCGCCAACCTATTGGCACATGCCCGGTCACGGCCACGATCTCAACGAGTGCACGCGCGCGTGAAACTCAAGCGCGCAGCCAAGTCCGTCCTGCAAGTCGCGCTGCGATGTTGGCGACGGCGACGGATGCCAGGCCAACGACGACGGTGATGACAGTGCTGATGACGCTGATGCCGACGGTTGAGGATGTTGCTGAACCTGATGGTGGTGATAATGACGCCGGCAGGGATGACGCTGGCGATGTTGATGACTGTGATGTTGGCGATGATAGTGATGATCATTTTGAGGGCGTGGGCGCACGCAGAATTTTAAGGAGGGCGGCGACATCGACGATGACGACGGTGGCGGCGGCGGTGGTGATGTCGTCGATGGTGATGATGATGGTGATGATGGCGATGGTGATGATGATGACAAATATGATAATGACGATGGCGATGACGATGGCGATGACGACGGTAACGAAGATGCTGAGGATGGTGATCATGGCTGCGCTGATGAGAATTATGAAGAAGTGCGCGCCCGTAAAATAACGGAGCTCCTGTCGGAGTTTTGATTTGATGACTTGTCGGTTTTCGTATGGTGTGGAAGTCCTCGGTGTTGAATTAGTTAGGTATCCATTGGTTCTGGGAGGATTTCGACTTGCGCGCGCAGGGTCGCGCGTGTGTGGTCCGCACGATGCTATTGGACATTTAGTGCGCGCATGGTGGTAGTTCTATGCTTTCGACCCTTTCGCGCGCTTGTGGTTCGCATGGTCTGTTTTGACACAATGGCTAACCGCCCAGTGCTTTCTGGTGGTTTCAGGGGATATGCGCGCGTAGTTTGTTGGGTTCAAGGGCCATTGCTCTTGCAGCTGTTGATTAACCAAGTCTTGAAGCGCGCGCGGCGGCGTGCGCATGTGCCACGCATGGTACCAGTTGCAAGGGATGGTTCCACGGCGCACTTTTCCCGATACGGTCTCCGGCCCAGGATTCTCTTTGTGCTGGCGGGCCTTCGGTCCTGAATTGGGAGGGTAACGAGCAGCAGGCGTCGGAGTTTGACACATGCAAATACGTGTGCGG